TCGAGAAAGAGATTAAAATTTAACAGCTTATTAGCGACTCGACCTTTCGCCTTTAGTTCTTGGAAATAGATAAACAAAGGGGCAAGACCTAACCTCCACGGGGCGGAAAGGGTTGTGAGGGGGGAGGGGAGTCGTAGAATCCCCAGGGAGTTCGTATCCGGAGGAGTATCCTCCTGGATCGGTAAGGATGGTTTTCTTTCCCCCAGGGAGTTTGTAACCGGGGGGGGAGGAGAAAGTAGATCCCTCTGGCGGTCGTCGGGGTAGGCTTATCCTCCTCGGTCGGTAAGGCGGTCGCGGGGTTTCCCCGGGTCGATTTCCCCTAGGCGTTGTCTACGGGAGGGGATGCGACATGTGTGTCCTCCCCGTCTTCGACGTCTTCGACGCCGCCCTAGCGTTTTCCGCGGAGTCTAGCGCCTCCCGCGTAACCCCGGGCGCATTTTCGACGCTGCCTTAGCGTTCGTTTTCGATGCCGCCCTAGTGTTTTCCGCGGGGTCTAGCGCGTCCTGTTTTGCAGGATGCTGCGGTTTGTTACGTCGCCTTAGCGTTTTTCGCGGGGTCTAGCGCTTCCCGCATCTGGGCGTTTTCCGCGAGGTCTAGCGCGTCCTGTTTTGCAGGATACTGCGGTTTGTTACGTCGCCTTAGGCGTGTTCTGTGTCTAAGCGTTTTCCGCGGGGTTTAGCGCGTCTTGTTTTCACGTCGACGGGAAGGCGCGCGTTCTGATTATGTAGAATACCGCGCGTTTTGTCATTTCAGTATGTCGCGGTTGTCGCGATTTGACGCGTTTTCGACACTGCCTCGGAGCATATATCTAGTCGTGAGAGGCATTTTTTTTTCCATTTTTAAGAACATGGTATATGGAAAAAATCGCGCTTAACGGCAGCTCGTCTTCGAGTGAGAGCGACGATCCGCTTTTATGCGCATTCGATCGTAATGTGACGCATCGCGATCTCGATGACGATCGTTGCGAGTTGATTATCGAGAGTGACGATAGTTTAGAGTGTCACGAGACTGACAACGAGGAGTGGATCGTGGTGAGAGAAGACTCTGGAACGTATCACTTGCGACGAGAAATCGATACAGAGAGCCCGCGAGAGAAACTGTGAATCGAAACGTTGCTCGCTCTGAGCGGTGATCTACGAGAGAACAGCGAGAGAGAAAAAATTGTGAAACGTTAAATTTGTCGTTCCTACGGACGGTTGGTTAACACTGTTGTGTGGGAAGTTGCGACATGGAGAAGAGTCGCGATTTTCTCGAACGCGCGGCGGGAGTTGAAGGGGTGTGCGCCTATCGTATTTGGGAACAGGAGTGTATCGAGTGTCTCGAAGTCTTGAGAGAAAGATGTGAGAATAGAGTCGATCCTACGGTTACCGGAACGATAAATTCTTTAATCGAATAGCGCAGTTGGAGAGTGCGAAATTCGCTTTGAGTCGACGTTTTAGTTACTTGGGTGCAGGATACGGTTCGAAGGGATTCGAATGGGTGGATATCGAGACGGCTTTCGCGAATTGCGTACGAACGGGTGCTGTGGTAAACATCGAACCTCGACGGTTTCTTGAGGACACGAGAGCCACGGTGCTCGAGCGAGTGCGAGTCGATCTTGATATGCACGCGTGTTTAAAGGTCAACACCGTGTTTCATGGGGAGTTCGTCGCGAATAATAAGAGCGCTGTTAAGAGCATTCTCACGAGGAATCGTCAGCTATTCGTTATGTCTGATCTATGAGAATGGTACGACGGAGATGTTATGAATGTTGTTCTGACGTCGCTGGAAGAATTTCAGGAACGTGACAGCGGTTGGGCGTTACTTCGGATATCAAATTTGATGATCAATGTGAACAAGTGTAATCCTATGCACGCTGGATGTTGGATGGCACTTCCTCTGAAGATAAGATATAAGAGAGAGAGAGTGATTACGTACGTTCGTTAATGTACGTTCAAACGACAACGCGTGCTTCGCGTGGGGCGGTAATAGTCGCTCTATATCCTTTTGATCTATACTCGGACAGACCGTCCTCATTATTCGTTGGTGCTGAATTTCGATGGTATCGACTTTCCTATGACGCTACGAAACATCGCTAGGCTCGAACATCTTAACGATGTGTCTATCAACGTATTTGCCATTTGAGAGAAAAGGGAGAGAAACGGTATCATGATCGTTTCCTTGTTGCTCACGGGGAACAAGAAGTCTACGCACGTAAATTTGCTCTACCTGTCAAACGAGCGGCGCGATGATAACGTCGGTCACTTCATATGGATAAAGCACCTGTCTCGACTGTTAACGTCGCAAATAAACAAGCATAAAGAAAAAAAATACATATGTAACCGGTAAGCGTAAGAGAGAGACTATGCTCGTCGCGAGATAAATTTTGTATTAATTATAAATTATGTATTTTTCAGATGTCTACATTATTTTTACTCGAACGAGAAATTGGTCGTGCATAGTGTCGAGTGTGGAAGAGCGATTGCGCCGTTATTCTTCCAAACGAGGACGACAAGTTGCTCTCCTTTCACAATCACGACAAAAAGAAGAGACTACGATTCGTCGTGTATGATGATCTGGAGTGCGTTTTAGAAAAGGGAGATCAACGGTTCACTGGGAATCTCGATGATAGATTTGCCTATCAACACTACAAAGCGTTCAGCGTGGGATATTATTTGCGTAGCACTGTTATACCCCGGATAGGCTACAACGTTAATATTAGGGATAGTCGAGTTCGTTAAGCCTAAGGAGTTGGGACTCCGAGCAGGATCAAAAGAATGTAGGGATCTTCTTGAATTTATTTATACACACTTTCTTTATTTTAATTGATTTATTCTCACAAGTGCACAGATGCTTGATATATTAACGATTATATTTTACACACGGTTAAACGTCGTCGAGTGACTCGGTGCGTATCGCGTTACTCTGGCAGCCGACGAGCGAATATGTCACCTGAGATGCTGATAGTACGGCTCGCGGGAACTTCGCTACGAAATTCGGTAATATCTCGTGCGATTATTATAAGTCCGATTCCGGACGACACGTAGTATTTCTCTTTTCTCTCTCGACTCTGCCTTATATGATCGATTATATAGACTGGTCGATGCCCGATCAGCATTCTGATCGGTTGCGTCGATTGATCGCGTGATATTGCTTGCTCAATATCACGCCCGGTTCGATCAGCAAATTGAGGAATTTGCTGATAGACTTTTCGCAATTGTTCGCAATGTTCTCGCGCGATGCATTTCTGCGGTCTTTCGAAAGATTGATCGCAATTTTGGCGATCACGCATTTGTGTCGTCTTACGAAAGACTTTTTCCGAATTTCATGCGGACTAATTTTGTTGCCATGCGGACTACTTTTATTATTAGTTGTAGATCTGACTACAACAGCACATACAACGGAATCATATCCGCGTATAGATCTCGCCGAGGCGACGACTGCGTCTGGTGGTTCGTCGAGAAGCTGCGCGCTCTCGCGTGTCGCGTGAGGAAGGTTCTGTGTGCGAGCGTACCGATGTCGGAGCTCACCCCGAACAAACGGAGCGCTTTTCAAAAGGCGATAAATTGTTACGTGTGCGAAAGGAGTTTTAGGTCATACGATATTCGCGTGCGCGATCACCGTCATCTTACCGGATGGTACAGAGGACCCGCGCACGCAAGCTGCAATTTGAACTATTAGAATGCGTTCATTTATTCCCGTTTATTCCCGTTTTTTTCATAATCTATCCGGTTACGACGCGCATTTCATTATCAAAGATGTAGCGAACGCTTTCGAGGGTAGAGTCGATCTGTTACCATTAACTAAGGAGAATTACATCGCGTTTTCGAAAATCGTCAACGATTCGGCATACGGAAAATAGAAAAATTGTGTTAAGCTACGTTTCGTGGATTCGTTTAAGTTTCTCAATACCAGTTTAGAAAAAGTAACTTCGTATCTAGATCGAGAAAAATTGAGGATCACGCGATTCGAATTTTCCGATCTCGTTGCGGAGAATTTCGAGTTTACGCTCACGCGTAAGGGCGTATTTCTGTACAAGTACATCGATAGCGTTGATAAACATTTAGAGACTGAGTTACCGCCGATCGAAGCCTATTACAGTTTTTTAACTGGCGAAACTGTGAGCGTTAGCGATTACGAATACGCGCGAAGAGTATAGGAGTGTTTTTCGCGTGAGAACTCTCGGCGAGTACAGCGATTTATATTTGAAAACGGATGTGCTTCTCTTGGTAGATATTTTCGAAAATTTTCGGGATACCTGTATGGAAATTACGATTTGGATCCAGCATTATTTCACATTACCGGGATACACGTGGGACGCTATGTTGAAATACACGAACGTTCGATTCGATTTGCTTACCGATATCGATATGGTGATGTTCCTAGAGCGCGATATACGCGGCGGTTTGAGCCAATGCTCGAACAGATACGCGCGAGCTAACAACTAATATGAATCGTCATACGACTCATCTCAACCGTCGTTGTATCTCATGTACGATGTGAACTACGATGTGAACAATCTCTACTGCTGGGCCATGTGCGAACCCTTACCGTATGCAGAATTTCGATGGGTCGAGGAATGTCGAAGGTTTTGATATTATGTCCGTGCCACCTGACTCCGATATCAGTTATATTCTAGAAATCGATCTCGAGTATTCGCGACATTTTCACGACGACTACGCGGATCTTTCGTTCTGCCCGACGCGCAAGAAATCGCCGGAAAATCGAAACAAAAAACTACTCGCCACGCTCTACAACAAGTCGCGTTACGTGACGCACTATCGCAATCTTTAGCAGTGCGTGCGACAGCGGTTTACGCGTGACGAAGGTCTATCGCGCGTTGTGGTTCGCGCAATCTTTTTGGCTACGCGTGTACATCGAGCTCAATACGGAACGGAGAACTCGCACGAGCAACGAGTTCGAGAGGAATCTGTATAAGCTGATGAACAATGCGGTTTTCGGCAAGACAATGGAGAACGTGCGCGATTACGTAGACGTAAGGCTCGTGACGTGTTGGGACGGAAGATATGGCACGGAGGCGCTGATCGCGAAACCGAATTTTCACAGTAGTAGCGTTTTCGACGAGAATCTCATGGCTGTCGAGTTGCGCAAACTCGAGGTTCAATTTAACACCAATTTACGTTGGTATGTTCATTTCAGAGATATCCAAGATGCGATTGTATGATTTTCATTATGATTATATGCCGCTTTATCGCTCTAAATGCAAAATCATGTACACGGACACCGATAGCTTGATATATTTTCTGGAATGCCGGAACGTTTACGAGAATATGAAGCGAGATATCGCGAGATTCGACATCAATGATTATTCCGACGACAATACGTATGATATACCGCGCGCGAACAAGAAGGTTTTCGGTTTGATAAAAGACGAGAACAACGGAGCGGTCATGATGAAGTTTATAGGACTCAGGGCGAAGATGTACGCTCTGAGAATTTTGGGAAAGAGCGATACAAAGAGAATAAAGGGCGTCAAGAGGAGTACCGTCGCGAAAACGATAACGTTCGAGGATTTCGCGCATAGCTTGAACGAATCATCGCAGCAATCGAGACGTCAGGCGTGCGTACGCTCGATGCTACACGAGGTTTACACCGTGTCCGAACTAAAGCTAGCTTTGAGTCCTCACGATGACAAGCGATACTTAATACCTTCCACCGATACATTGCCATGCAATCATTATAAGATACTGTTATTAGATACTAATGTAGTATAAAACTTTTACCAATGTAGAATAAGTAATTGTACACTCTTTATTCATTACAATACAGCCGTTTTATGAATCCAAGAGTTGTGTGTATTGTCGATTCCTAACCATTTGACGAAAACTCTAACGTTCTTTCTAGCACTTTCTCTACGAGATAGATATCGGAATTGGAAACTCGCGTTTGTAAAATCCTTCGGCTATTGGCTCTTTACGATAATCTTTCAGCAGATACATAGGGGATTCGTGCGTTGCACCTTAGCGATTCGAAAAATCTCGGTCGTCTAGTTAGGCGTATATCCCTTCTCGAAAATCGTTTTGAACTTGCTGATGCCAGATCGTTCACCTTGAATCTTGTGGGGGCTGCGATCTTCAAGTGACTGTATACCGTGGAGAGAAGTCTCTTGGCAATGGCGGGAGTTATGTCCGCCGGTCGCATTCCGGTTTCGATGCGCGCGGTTGTTATACTCCGAGATTAAACGCGGTAGAGCGTCGAACCATCTGTACGATCCCTTTAGCGTTTAAGAGTTTCCACATGTTGTTCTTGAGCGTGCGATTAAATCGCTCCACAACCGCCGCTTTCATCACCGAGTACGTCGAGTAGTGACGTATATCGTACTATCAGTACCGCTTTTACAAAAGCGTTGTAGAACTTCTTGCCCTTGTCCGTTTGTAGATTTTGCGGATGTCAAGCGTCGTCGCGAAATATCTTGGACAACGCTACCTCGCTTCCGCTCTTGCTCTTCAGCGGCACAGCCCACGCGTATTTGCTCAACACGTCGATGACCGTCATCACGTAATTGTAGCCTTTGTTTTGTCGCGCGTACGGACGCATCTCGACGACATCGGCCTGCCACAGATCGTCATAACCGCGCACCATGACTCGACGACGCGGAAAGTTTCTTCGCGCGGGGCGTGAAGCTCCTCGACGAGTCTTCTCTTCTCGACGCTCATCGCTGATTTACGAGGAGGCGCGATTGGTTTTATTTGTGCTCGTCGCTTCGCGCATTCGCTCCTGTTCCTCGTTCCAAACGTTAATCGCGTGTTTCATGGTATTTGGAATATCCATTTTTAGTGCGACTAGTAATTCGTTTATCGTTTCTCTAATCACTATTTTATCCAAAGGCCAACATTTGCCCAGCGTCTCTCTCGTTATCGCTTTGTCCGTTAGTTCTCTTGTGATCTTCGTCAGATCTGTCACGCTACGTGCGAGATTCTCCACGTCGATATTCTCTCACGGCTCGTCGACGACGCGTCGAGCTCGTTTTACAGGGATTTCTCTAGATTTCGCAGTGATTCCTCTAGGATCTGCGTTTGTTTCTCTTGAGCGTCGCCGAGCGTCTTTCGGATCTCGCTCGAATCTCTAGCTCGCAGTTTGTCCTATTTTTCCCCCGTTCGTCCTAGCGCACGTTGAAACATAGACAGATCTTTAATTCTAATAATAGTTGGTTGTTTAACGAGTTTGTTCCGTTTCCCTTATTTGTTTATCGAGATCGACGAGCGAGACCTCCCTCCTCTCCTCGATCTGTCGCAGTGATTCCTCTAGATTTCGCGTTCATTTCTCCTAAGCGTCATCGAGCGTCTCGATGACCCTTCGAATCTCGCTCAGATCTTTCTCTCGCGATTCGTCCCGTTTCTCGAACTCTTGTTCCATCTCTCATCTTCTCTATTCGTTTGTCGTGATCGACAAGCGAGGCCTCTCTCTTCTTCTCAAAGTGTCGCAGAACGTCCACTTCGATTTTTACGTCGTAATACTGTAGGAGAATATTCCGAATTCACTTGTTCATATCTTCCAGCTGTTTTTGTAACTCGTTAGAACTTTCAACTCCTCGTTCCTTACGTGAAGCGCGTCGTCGACATAACCCTTGGTCGTCGCGTCGGCATCGTCGATCGGCGTATCCAAATGGCATATCTTGCGTCTGTTGACGTCGTAGTCGTCCGGATTCAGGCAGAGCGCACTGCGACGCCCACAGGGATGCGATCAAATGATCGTCAATGCCGCGCTGCCTCTCTAGAGACTTTCCGAATTTGTTCGCAGACATCATGCCCTCGCGGTTGACGAATCTGCTTGTAATCTTGGCGATCTGCGTATCGTATTTGAGAAACAATCTGGTTACGCGCGCCATAGATTCCTCCAATTCGCCGATCTGACCGCTCTCGTTCATCTCCGACAGCAACGTTCGAGTGCTCGTCGAGAGTTCGCTCGTCTCTTTGATTCTCGTTTCCGCGTCTCGAAACGCGCTGTCCACGTAGCTTTTCTTCGGTATCAGTTCTAGGTGCGGCTAAACGCCGTATGGTTCTGTCTCTCGCGTCGTAGTAATCGTCACTTAGACAGAGCGCGTTGTTACGCACATACGCAGGGAATCGATCGACAGTCGCGAGCGTGCCCTGTCGCTTCCGCCGAACGACTCCAATGGTCTTCCGAACTTGTTCACCAACATAACGGGAATACCTCGGGTCGCCGCGAGCGCGCGCCGCGTTTTATTCAAACG